TATATATATATATATTTATTTTATTTTTTTTTTTTTTTAATATATTTATTACATATTATGCATACAAATATTCAAGTACTTTGAGAGAGCAGGGAAACTTGACTCATTTGTACTGCTTTATGGGAGTGGGTGGGCGGTAAAAAGTTCTTTTGGTGAAAAATTGAAAAATTTTCCAAAATTTTGTTTAGATTTTTTGTTTCGATTCTCTGACTGGTGAAGGCTTTTTCAGAATTATGGGTAATGTAGATTTTCCACCAGGAATTCTGCTGTTGAACTTGATTGTTTAAAAATAAATTGAAATAATGTGACCTGATAGCTCCAACAAAAGCAAATACCATTGATTAACAACATAGCTCAGAGTAGGTCTGTCTTTAATGTCTTACAACTTATCATTAAAAAGCAATTTCCATATGGAGACAATGAATAGAATTTTTACTTCTGGAATGGATTGTTGCACTACTTCCAGTCTCTGAGGGTACGTTTACATGACAACAATGCACTAAAAATGGAAATGCGTTTAAGTTTTGCGTACAGACAACATTGTTAAAATGATCCCCCTTTACAGTTTCACAAAAACGACTAAAAACACTGTTTTATTCATGCCAAGCCAGAAGTTGGCGATGTCACTTTGTAAAGAAATACGACATGCCTGCGCACATATGCATTCTTATAGACTGAACACATGACATGCATGTGCATGACGTCACTGTTTTCACAAATTTGCAGTTTATATGGAGACGGTAAGAGTGTCATTTTGAAAAACTTACACTTTGGGAACATTTACACAACACCATTTTTAACTAAAAATGAAAAACTTTTTATGTGTTTTGGCAGTTTATTTACACGACAACTGCGTTTTGGGGGCATTACACCGTTATCATCTCTGTGTAAACTATTTTGTGAAAACAGTGACATCAAGCATATTACTTGTTCACATAGTGTTTCTTTACATTGCCAACTACTGGCCTGGCATGCATAATACAGCTTTTTAAACTTTTTAAGAGGATCCACATGAATGGGGATTGTTTTGACAACATAGTTGCCTGTACACAAAAAAAACAGAGGAACATTGTTATCGTGTAAACATACCCTCTGAAACCCGTTTTCAAAAGTTTGTGTTTTTAGGCCCACAAAATGCCATGGTCGTGTAAATGTCATTCCCTTTCGAGCGTTCACTCTACATTGCGAAGCATTCGCAGTGGGAACTCCTCCCCTTCTCCAAAATCCTGAAACCTTATAGGATAGTGCCAGTACAATAAACTAGCCAATTGTCGCTAATTATGCAAACTGCATGCAAATACTGACAAGCATGCAGTCAGTATATAATGCGGTGAGAGCGACAACTGCCTCAGAATATTCTCCTTCACGCTGCTATAATACAGGTTCACCACAGCCAATGGCTACCTTTTGCTGAATTCGTGCGGGTCCCATCGACCCCCCCCCGGACCAGCACAAGCACTGCATCGCCTGCCTGGGCCTGCCCCACGCTGAGGCGGCGTTCTTGGAGTCTGACTGCGTGCACTGGACTGACTTGCCGGCACGTGTTTTGAGGACTTGGAGGAGCATCGCTCATGGCCTTATGGGGACGAGGCCCACTGCCACCAACGAGCCCTTCCTCGGGGCCTGCCATCGCTCCTTTCGCCAGTCCTTTTCGCTGACGAGAGCAGGTGGTTAAGTCGTGGTCTGCACCCCAGACGGCGTGCTTCCACTCTTCCACTCAGGCCATGTTCTCCCACATGGACGGGGCGGAGGCCGACAGCTATGTGCACATGCCCCCCGTCGAGGAGACCGCCGCTGCGCATCGGTGCCCTTTCTTGGCCACGCTTGGTGCAGACCTCAGCCTACCTTCTAAGCCTTACAGATTGACCGCCAACCTCGCTGACAAGGCTTACACCTTGCGAAGCGGCATCCGCGCTGCACACGATGGCGGTGCTGCAGGTCTTTCAAGCTAAGCTCCTGCAGTCCCTGGACATGCGGATGTCGTGAAAGACCTGCGCACAGAGACGGACTTTGCGCTGATGTTGACAAAGCGCTCTGCTCAAGCCATTGGTCGTTCAATGCGCTTCATGGCATTGGTAGTCCTACACAGGCACCTATGGCCGACCCTAGCTGACCTGAAGGACTCTGACTGGAAGGCACTCCTCAACGCACCGATCACTCCCTCCGGCCTTTTCGGGTACGCCGTGGAGTTGGTCGTTGAGCGCTTCTCTGAGGCGATGAGTCATCTGATGCTCTGGCGCATGTTCCATTCACCATCACGCTCCTCTTCTGCGCCTCGCTCTGCTCAGAGAACGGCTAAGCAGCCTGCCACATCCTCCGCGGCTCCTCAATATGAGCCGGAAGTTCACCGTGACAGCGGACCACCCTCGGCTGCCAAGCCCTCGTCCTGACGGACCGGCCAAGAGAGCTCGCTGGAGGCCCGACCCCCAAGCACTGCATTATGTTCCCCTTGTTCCTGTAGGTGACAAATGCAATGTTCATGTTTGTTCAGTAAAAACACAAACATCCTCACAAAAAGAGCGGCTTTCTCCTAATCATATTAATATGGCGTTACTCGTCCTGACTCAGAGCAACGCAGAGCCGCTGTCTGTGTCTGTTACGGCCTCCCAGTGTTGTCCTCCATGAGCCGTTTCCCCGCCAGTGCATTTAGCCTCGCCAGTCTACGAACATCGCTGCTAGCGATAGCGACCACAGAGATTCGGCCGCTATGTCAGTTCCTAGATGCGTGAAGAGCTGGGTGCTGAGCATAATAGAGCACGGATATTCCCTACAGTTCAGATGCAGACATCCCCATTTCAACAGCGTGGTTCTGTCACTGACACTGCCTGTTGCTGGTTGAACACACAAAGCTTGATGCTTTTGAGTTTGTCAGAAAAGAACATTACAAACTGCTGATTTTTTTGTCTGACAGGCAAGTTCCTTGATATTGATTAGCTCTTTATTGAACTCTCTATAAAAGAAATATCACTCGCAATCTTGCTGTAATGTAATAATGATTAATTGAGCTGTTCTCTTGTCGTTGCAAATATGCAAAGCATATTTATGTTAAGCTTCTTCTCAACAGCTGTCTCAAATCACACAGGTGGATTCAAATGACAGTTGAATTAACTGTTGTTCCCCTTGTTCCTGTAGGTGACAAATGCAATGTTCATGTTTGTTCAGTAAAAACACAAACATCCTCACAAAAAGAGCGGCTTTCTCCTAATCATATTAATATGGCGTTACTCGTCCTGACTCAGAGCAACGCAGAGCCGCTGTCTGTGTCTGTTACGGCCTCCCAGTGTTGTCCTCCATGAGCCGTTTCCCCGCCAGTGCATTTAGCCTCGCCAGTCTACGAACATCGCTGCTAGCGATAGCGACCACAGAGATTCGGCCGCTATGTCAGTTCCTAGATGCGTGAAGAGCTGGGTGCTGAGCATAATAGAGCACGGATATTCCCTCCAGTTCAGATGCAGACATCCCCATTTCAACAGCGTGGTTCTGTCACTGACACTGCCTGTTGCTGGTTGAACACACAAAGCTTGATGCTTTTGAGTTTGTCAGAAAAGAACATTACAAACTGCTGATTTTTTGTCTGACAGGCAAGTTCCTTGATATTGATTAGCTCTTTATTGAACTCTCTATAAAAGAAATATCACTCGCAATCTTGCTGTAATGTAATAATGATTAATTGAGCTGTTCTCTTGTCGTTTTAAAAAGCAAAGCATATTTATGTTAAGCTTCTTCTCAACAGCTGTCTCAAATCACACAGGTGGATTCAAATGACAGTTGAATTAACTGGGTCGAAGCTTTCAGCTAGACTGTCATATGAATACAATTCTTCATCTAACAAACTTGATGACCTGTTACTGCAGGAATGTGGTTAGACTTAAGTACTGTTGATGAAAGCAAATAAAAGCTGGAGTTTATATTTTTTTTTAGTGTGTATATATATATATATATATATATATATATATATATATATATATATATATATATATAATACAGAACTGGGTAGTAATCTGGATTATGTAATCAGATTCCAAATGTTATGTAGGCTACTTGTAATCAGATTAAATTAAATTTTAAAATACTCGTAATTATACAGTTACTTTTTTTTATTGATTACATGATTACATATTATTTATGCACAAAATAGCAATTAATTATTCATAATTTATTTATTCTCCCTAATTCATTTTTCATCTTTTAAATGTTCTTTTCTAAAATAGCCTACTACCGCTTATATATATACTCAGAAAGTCTTCCAGTTCTGTGGACATTCATACAAATGCAGTCAATGTTCAGTTGGCTCACACAGCATTTGACCACTGGACTTACAAAAATCATTTCAACTTTAACATTGCATCAACTAGGCTACTAATGAACACATTCATTTTTATTTGAATTATCACTCAGTAGATTATTTGACCATGTATTACTTTTATTGGACTTTTTTCTTTCAAACACATTAAAATGCACAAATTCATGTTATTTCTTATTTACTTTACTAGCTATACTTATATAACTTTTTTTTTGTCAGCAGAATCTCTTTTACCTAATATATTTACTTGAAGTCCCCCCCAGATTTTAAGGTAATAAATTAACAATTAATTAAACCAACGATTTTCCATTAAACATACAACCCCCAGTTTAGGAAACCTTGACGTAATGTAATGTTTAACCCTCGTCTACAGCATAGCATTGTCCTCAGGCAACAAAAAGTTTTTCTTATGCCCCAATGTTCAGTACATGTTTTTTAAATGATTGCAACCAATTAAAAATGTTTGAAAAGTATCAAAGAACAGTCCAATAAGGTGTGGGAGTCACTATCAAGCACCATTTGAAGACAGGACTTCCTTTTCTGACACATGGTCACAGGAGCACATGGTGTGAGAAGGCGCAAAGATTATTTGCTTTAGTAATCTTATTTAAAATGACATGAACTGTACATAAAAATGTGTGTGTGTGAAGGTGTAGAGAAGACTTTTGTCAGGTTTTATGACTTTTTTATTTTGCATGTTCAGACATGCAGTTTTACTTTTTGTTGCCTCAGGGGTCCACTGCTCCCATCCCTAACCAGGATTTCCCATTGACAATACATACGGGCAAATCCTGTGTGACAAAAAGGGAAGATGCAAGGTTCCTGGGTGCACAGGAACACCCAAAGTGATGTGCAAAAATTGCACATCTAGCCAGCTCTGTGTTTTTATATATGTGTGTGTGTGACCCTGGACCACAAAACCAGTCTTAAGTAGCACAGGTATATTTGTAGCAATAGCCAAAAATACATTTTATGGGTCAAAATTATTGATTTTTAAGTAGCACAGGTATATTTGTAGCAATAGCCAAAAATACATTTTATGGGTCAAAATTATTGATTTTTCTTTTATGCCAAAAATCATTAGGATATTAAGTAAAGATCATGTTCCGTGAAGATATTTAGTAAATTTCCTACTGTAAATATATCAAAACTTCATTTTTGATTAGTAATATGCATTGCTAAGGACTTCATTTGGACAACTTTAAAGGTGATTTTCTCAATATTTTGATTTTTTTTTGCAACCTCAGATTCGAGATTTTCAAATAGTTGTATCTTGACCAAATATTGTCCTATCCTAACAAACCATAAATCAATGGAAAGCTAATTTATTCAGCTTTTGGATGATGTATAAATCTTATGACTGGTTTTGTGGCCCAGGGTCTCTCTCTCTCTCTCTCACACACACACACATATATATATATATTACATCTTAAAGATGCAAGAAATACATGAACATGAGCACAGCTGTATGTGCTTTGTGTTTGGGGAAAATATGACAATTATAATGATGCAAATTAAATGTTTATAATAGTTATCCATTACCCAACACTTTCTCAATGGGCTTTTATGTATGTGTGTGTGTGTATAAATATATATATTGTATATATAAGCCATAAGCTGTATTACTTGACATGTATTCTTATAATATATAATGTAATTTATGTAATGTCATAATAATATAATTATATGTTGATAGTTAAGTGACAGTATGTGATTTGAAGTAACTTTATTTACAAAACATAAGATGTGTAAATCATTCATATATCCATTTGTACGTAAATTGCCCCACTGAACTGAATAGTTCGGTATCATTTAAACAGAAAATTAAATGAATATGGCTCATTAGTAAAGTGACAGTATATATATGACAGGAAAATGCATGGATCATCACCAAACTGCTCATGGATCGTTGGAAGAAGTCGCTCTTGCAGGACGTTTTGATACCATTCTTTATTCCTGGCAGTGTTTTTGGGCAGAATTATGAGAGAGCCCACTTCCTTGGTTGAAAAGCAACCCCACACATGGATGGTCTCAGGATGCTTCACTGTTGGCACAATACAGGACTCATGGTAACGCTTCCTCTTTTCTTCTCAGAGCAATCGATTTACCAGATGTCCCAAACAGTCGGAAGTGAGCTTCATCAGAGAAAATAACTTTGCACCAGTCTTCTGCTGTCCAATCCTTGTACTTCCTGCAGAATTTCAGTCTGTCCTTGACGTTTTTCTTGGAGAGAAGTGGCTTCTTTGCTGCCTTTCTTGACACCAGGCCGTTGTCCAAAAGTCTTGGCCTCACTGTGCGTGCAGATGCTTTCACATCAACCTGCTGCC